TCTACAATAAGACAGTAGAGCAGAGCCTCCTGGGCACTGCTAGAGCAGCAGTTGTGTAGAGACTAGCCATAAAGACTAGCTGTCAAACCCTAATGAAAAACCCCTGTGGGTGCCTCACACACCACTTGACCAGAAGGGACAGGGCAGGGGCGACATGTAGGAGGTGCACATGCACCACCACCGGCAACATCAGCAAGGAGTCTGTAACCCCTGCTGGCCGCTGCTGGTGATGCCGGCAGCATCTGCAGGTGATCGCTGACCCCTGGTCGGTGCTCCACCCCCCGCCACCGACAGTGTCAGTGGCGTCTGTGGGAGCTCCCCTGCTTACCACCGCTGTACTCCTGCCACCACCACCGTGCTTCTGCCACCACCATGCCCCCCCAGCTGCTGGGGGCACGCATTGTTGATGGGGCAGGGCTTAGGAGGCATATAAACCCAGGGCCTGAACTAGGCTAGGAAGTCTATCCCTGCAAACTTCAGAAAGAAATGCTTCAGGTCAGGAAGTCTGCTGGAGAGTCTGTGGCTGACCCCTGGGCTGTTTGGGGAATGCAAGCAAGGTGCTGAAGGCTTGCTGGGAAATATGACCCAGGCCACAGAAGAAGTTTGTAATACAGGTTTCCCTCGCCAATCACTGAGGTTAGGTTCCTGAAAGTTCCTGTGGTTGGCAAAACCATGGTTGGCAAGATTTAAAAGGCTTATGAGGAAAATGGCAGGTGGCAGGCTGATGCATGGGCACAGAAAATTGTGGTTACTCAGAACTGTATACTGTGGTAGCCAAAATGGTATATAGAATATTAAGCATGGATACTCAAAACCATGGTTGGCAAGATTTAAAAGGCTTATGAGGAAAATGGCAGGTGGCAGGCTGATGCATGGGCACAGAAAATTGTGGTTACTCAGAACTGTATACTGTGGTAGCCAAAATGGTATATAGAATATTAAGCATGGATACTCAAAACCATGGTTGGCAAGGGAAACCTGTACAGCCAGTGTGCTCATCTTTTCCCTGACAATCAGGTATTAGCTTCTTCTTTTTTTCACTTTCATTTTGTTAATAAATCAAGAAAAAAATTACTGCTGGGTCCTTTTTCAGCTATGCTGTAATCATTTTAATCAGAAAAAAAATATTTCTAAAAATGTGTGACAGTGAGACCTGTTATGGGAAGATTAATATATGCAAATATAATACAAAGGTATTTTAATAATATTAAAATATACCTGGAGTTCTTTGTTATGAAGACAACTGAAGAACCAGAAAAATTAAAGATAGGTTCATTTTGGAGAAATAAAAAAGAAATCAAAAGCATTTAAGCTGGAAGGAGAAGAAATACCTGCTATAGCAGATTTTAAGAAAAGGGAAATCATTAGCACCCATGTTTCTGAAGCTCTAAATTACATTGTTAAAAGTGAAGCATAGAATTTTCTTCAGATATAGAAGGCTTAGGTACTGCTACAACATATTGGGAATTTGCCTACTTAATATCACAGATTGTGCAGACAATAGATAAGTTATTCATATGACAGACAACCGCTTGAGAATTCATGACCATTTAGGAGATCGTGAATACTGGAGGTTGCACTTCTACTTTTTAGAGAAAATATAAGTTGAATATTTAGGCCTTTGTCTTTCAAATAATTCTCTTACATATGCCCATAATTCCCTCACCCCACCCCTGAGATTTAGTTCAGACAACTGCAGTGAGATAAAGGCATTAGCTGTATGACACTCATCAACTAGAATGGAGCTAAAAGAGCATTTTAGCAGTTCTATTTCTTAAGGCAGGAGTTGTCAACTTGAGTGACTGAATGCAGATTGAAAGTCTCCAGAGAAATATTGGCCCTTCATATGAGTGAGATGCTTTAAATACAGTCTCCCCTTGACACGCATTTGGCTTCTTTGTTATTGCTGCTATTAATCATTTTACAGGATGTTTGACATAAACAGTTCCTAAAAGAAATATATATATAAGTAAAGAAAAGAGGTTTTATTCTGTCTTGGATCAAATCCTGACAAATCCCATTAACTCTGAAAGTAAATCAGGGCAGATTTTGGTCCAAACAAGGTCTCTGCCCAGTAAAACACTTTAATAGAAACCCAAGTTTCATGTGCAAAAATGTACCTGTAATTATATGTTGACTTTTGTGCATGCAATTATGGAACTTGTACCTGTAAATTGAATGCCTAAATATAAATATCTATTGAATGATGATTTTTAATGAAAAGGTAAAGACACAAGTTTTCATGACTTAGCATACAAACACTGAAAACTTGGCCCTTACTCATTTGTCTTCATTGCTGCTTTTTCCACCTACACAGATGCCCAAACCCTGCGTTGTCCACATTTATCGCCCTTATCCAGGCTGTGAGAGGTAACTACAGCCAGAGCTGACAAAATACTGAATACTCAAAATAAGCTGAGACTTGAATTTCTGCTTGCCAATTTTGCAGCAACGATGCAACATAATAATTGGTACCTGAGTTAGAGTACAGAGAACTCCAGGGGTGAGCAATTGTTTCAGCTGGTGGGCCAATGAATGAGTTTTGGTGAGCTATTGAGGGCTGCACGCACAAAATGTTTCAAAAAATAATTTCTGTCCTGATTTATGTGTTTGAGTAGTGTATATAGAGGTGGTTGCATAATAGCTCAAAATAAAATCTTACTTTTGTATCTTATGTGTGGTGGGGGGTATATGGGGGTGCATGGGGTGGATGTAGGGGGATGTGTGTGTGTGGTCCCAGGAGCCAGCTGGAGGTGTAGGGAGGAAGAGGCAGATGCAGTCTGCCGAGCTGGGCTGAGCAGTGTGCAGGTGCAGTCTGGCCCCCCTCTCCCCTATGTGGCCTGCAGCTTCCCCTGCAGTGCTCCACATGGGGCCCAGACCCACCTGCTCCAGCTTGCACCCACCAATAGCATGGCCCTGGCCCCAGCCAGCGCTCATCATACCAAGTGGGTGTAGTGGGCGGAAAGTCACTGAGAGCTGGAGCCCTGTACACTGGGGCATGATCTACCTAGCTGCAGCTTCCCCCATGCCGCTGTTTCCCTGCGCTACCTGATTCCCAGAGTAGTGCAACAGGGGCAGAAGGAGGAGCTGCTGGAAGCAGAGGGAATCAAGCAGTAGCTGGACAGCTGCAGCAGCAGCAAGAGCAGCCCCACTGGGAAGCTGTGCATAATGGCCAGGGTTGGGGCAGTGCTGTCGGTGGGTGTAGGTGGGAGCACAGTGTAGGCTGCTGAGTGTGGGGCTTGGCCCCCTGGGGAGAACCCTGGGGGCAACTATGGGAGTGGTACCATATAGTTGGACTGTAGCAAATGTAGTATCTGAGGAAAGGATAAATAAGACCAAGCAGTAAATGGACAACAGGATGAAATGCAACATGCCTGTTATCTTTCTTTAATAAGATAACTGACTTATAAAGCAAAGAAAATGCAATAGAGCTCATGTTGGGACTACTATAAAGCATTTGGTTTAGGAACTGCAAGAGACATTTTCAGAAAAAATAGAGGAGATTAGTAGAGGAATTATAAGTTTGGTAAGGAGTTAACTAAAGGGAAGGTCACGAAAGGAAGGTGTTGATAGGGAAAGATTGGAGGGAGGTTATAAGTGGAGTTCTTTATGGATTAGACATGATCCCAATTCTGTTTTACTATTTTCAGGTATGACCTGGGCTTAAAGAAGTGTACTAATGAAATCTGTTGACCAAAAACAATGCTCAGAGAGGTCATCAATATAGAGAGACTGGAATGTTTGACAAGAACTGGTTGGCTTGAGGATAGGAGTGATAAAAATAATTGAATTAATTTTAATATTTTAAGTTATAAAATCATGTGCTTAGGGATCAACAGCAAGGATTTTCACTCTAAGTTGCAAACCTATCAGTTGGAAAAAATGAAGGAAAAGAAAGTCCAAGGTGTACTGGTTGATATCAGGATTGTTAGGCTCCCTTGTATGTTGATCATGAACTTCCCATGTATGCAAATATAGGAGAGTTATTTCCAGTAGAAATAGTAAAGTATTAATGCTATTGTGTAAAGCTCTGGTTAGATACAGATGCTCTGGCTAGATACCTGTGCAGTTCTGGTCTCACACCTTGGCAACGCATAGGTAGTGCACACGGGTGCATGTGCACCCGCTGAGATTGGCGGTGCCCCCCCTGCAATTGGCTGCTGCCAACGCTGCTGGTCGGCACTTGCCAAACCCTCCCCGCTCACCACCGTGGCTGCGGCCGCCTGTGGGACCTCCCCTCCCCCCTCCACCGTCGCTTGCAGGCGGTTGCTGTGCCCCCACCCAGCCTTCAGGGGCATGCATCTTTCATGGTCTCACATGTTCAAAAAAGATAAACACAAAATGGAACAGGTATAGAGAAAGGCTACTAGGGAATAGAAAGTTTATCATATACAAAAAGACATAAAGACTCAGCATATTTGGCCTTGCAGAAGGGATATTATTGTTCATTAAAAATAATTACATGCATAAATGAGGGGAAAGAAATATTTTAGTTGAATGACTGGGTGGGGGGCGATCCTGCAAGACTATGCAGCTGCAGCGTCACCAGCACTACAAGGTGTGGACCACGGTGCCGCATGTGAAAGACAAGAGCGGAGAGAGCTTGACATCCCCTCAGCTCCTGGCCCAGCTTGGCCGGTGGGGCACATGGAGGGGCCTGTGCACTTTCCCTTCACCTCCCTCAGGACCTGTCCAGGTCCGTGGATCCAATCCTGGGACCTGAAGAGACAACACCCACCCCCACACACACGCACCTCCCCCCGCCCCAGCCCGGGCCTGTGCAAGGGGCTACCATCAATGCGGCACGGGCGCGGGGAGCAGGCTCCGCCCGCTTCACCTCCGTCCCGCACTTGGCTGCGCCCACACTGGGCCAGGGCCCCTGCCTCTGGCGTCACAGTGGGGGCGGGGCTCAGTCTCCGCAGTGAGCAGTCTGTGAGGTCACTTCCGGCGTGGCTGGGTTGCTAGGTAACGTCGGCGGGCAGCAGGCGAGTGGCCCTTGGCCCGGTCAGTGCGGCGGTGGCCTGAGCATCCATCGCGTGGCCGTGCCACTCATCGCCGGGCCGGGCCGAGACAGGACGAGCGCCTCCCCTGCGGGCACACGAGCGAGGGGCCGCGAGTCCCACGGGCAGTGCTGCGTCGCCCCGGGAGAGCCCGCCCCGAGCCATGTCCCGGCCCGCGGCGGCCCAGCGCAGCGCCTTCCAGGTGCGTCCCGGCCCGCGAGGCAGACCCAGAGCCAGGCATCGCCCGCACCTCCTGCACCCTGGGGTCAACGTGTGTGTATATGTTTCGGGGGGAAGCAGCACCGTACCTAGACTCCTGGCGGCCCCGAGGGAGCTTTCAGTATCGGGGACCCCCTTCACTGATAATAATAATTCTTTTCACCGGTTTCGGGTCACCCTTCTGTCCTATCTCTGGGTGGCCACCAGTTCGCCCATTTCTCTGTCCGGCCCTGTGTTGTGTGAGTGCATGTGTTTCAGGTTGGCAGTTTCCTAGTGCCATGAATTTGGGAGTATCAGCCTCTTGTGCACTAATGTATGGTCACATGTATGGTCTATGCACTATGTAGGTATGGAATATGCACTAACGTATGGTCACGTGTAGTCACTGCACTGGTCTGTTGCCCAGACAGAGATGGATTTAAATGGCATTGTGTGGCAGACACTACACAAGGCCATCTAAAGGGTGCACAGGGGTGCGCTGTTTAAGTGCACCCCTGTCCAGTGCGCTGTGGGCAGGGCACCCTATGAGAGCCTTGTACAGGTTTCCCTCACTGCATGCTGTACACACGGTCATGGAAAACGGTGCATAACTCAAATTCACATAAAGGAAACCCACTTTACAATGTAACAAATAAGGATATGTTCTGAGACGTCAAGTGTACTGACCCCCAGAGCCATTTCTACCACTTTTAAAAGACAATTTTGGTACTTGCCAACAGCAGATAGTACACACAAGCATAGGGCACTGTCATAATGGGGATGGCAACTGCATAAACACATCGCAGACAACGAGCGAGGAGCACAGATCCACAGAGGAGACTATATTTTGCTGTGTCACTTCCACAATGCACAGCAAAAAGCAGCTGACTGCGGGCTTCCACCACACAGATCGCATAAGAGTGCATTTACCTTGCATATAACAAATTTTTGGTATTAAAAGGGTCATTGCATAAGAACCTGCATAAAGCAAGGGAAACCTACTGGCTAGCTTTCAGGGGGAGGGGTTGAATCTTCCTGCTGCTGTATGTACCCCTGATGGAGACAGGGGGAGCATGTGCCCCCCCACCCCCGGATTTGTGTGCATGGCAAGGGCAGGCTGCCCACTATGGGTTTGGGACCAGGGGCTATGCCAGCTTCTTGGACTGAGCCAGGGCTGGGCTTGGAGCTGGCAGGTGCTGGGTGGGCTCAGCTATACAGGGCAGGTGGTGGCAGTGCTGGGAAGGGTGGATATGGGGAATTTTGGTGCGGCTATAGCCCTTCAAGTCCTCTCTTAGCACTGCCCCTGCTCAGGGCACTCCACTCTGCTGCCTTTCCCTCAGGAGCCCTCCACTGAGGAGTGCGCAGGGGACATGCAGCCAGTGCAGGGCTCCTGAGGGAAAGGCAGGAGAGTGGAGTGCCCTGAGCAGGGGCAGCACTGGGGGTTGAGGGCTATAGCCACCCCAAAATTCCTCATAGCTACTCTTCCCAGCACTGCCACCTCCCACCCATGCCCTGTACACAAATCTGGGGGGGCACATGCCCCCAATGCCTCCCCTGGGGGTGTGCACAGCAATGGGGAGCTGTGCCCCCTCCCCACCCTGTTGTACCCCCTTATTACCCCCCTCTGTCCCCTGGATGAGCCTCCCATGGTTCCATCCCACTCCCAGACCGAAGGTCGCATTCACTGCCCTGGCTGGGCAGTGCCTGCCCCTACCCCTACCCCGACCCCTACCCCTTTCCTCACTGTGGTGGCCTTAATCTGCCTCCCTACCCCTTTTCTCCCACAGGCCACTTCCCCCCCACAGACTTACTGGCAGGGCACTACTCTCCCAGCTGCCCAGCTGCATTCCTGTAAATCTGATATTGGATCAGTATCAGTCAATATAGCTGGTTAATAATTGGCTATCGGTTTTGGGCAAGCAACTCTTTATTGGTGCACCGCTAGTTTTTATTTTATCCTTTAGCACCTTCACTTACTTCCTTCAGTGACTTCCTTCCTTCCACCAGTGACTTTAGCAGCAGACTTCCTTCATTTCACCACCTAGCCCTTAGCCACAACTCCCACTCATTGCCTCTCCACCTCCCATTTCACTACCCAGTACCATCATTAAACTCTTCGCCCTGCCAGCCTCATGCTCCCACCCCCCCACAACCCATCTTTCCAAACTACCCCCTCACCTAGAGCAGGGGTAGAAGCTAGGGCTGTGCGAAATGGGCCATATTCAATTCGGATTTGGCCCAAATTGGGGACCGTGATTCAATTACTTGATTCAGATCACCGTCCCTGTGGCTGAATCAGAATCTGAAGATTTGATGCTGATTTGGAGAATCAGGGATTTGGGCACAGACACAGCATTAAATATTTTTTCTACATACCTTGAGGTACCAGGTGCGGCTCGTGAATGCTGAGATGGTGGAGCAGATGGAGCCTCCCACAGGAGCATGGGGAGTCCCCCCACATGCTCCGTGATGAACCTGGTAGTGGACTGGAACTACTTCTGGTCCACTTCTGGGTTCATGCAACAGGGGGCCCCCCTGCACTTCCCCAGCAGACTTGGAAGTGGACCATAAGTGCTTCTTGTCCACTTCCAGGTCTGCAGCTGAGCAAGCTGGGGAGCGCCCCCCCACTGTGCTCCTGTGGGACGCTCCATCCGCCCACCATCTCAGCATTCACGAGCCACTTAGTACCTTGAGGTATGTAGAAAAAACATTTAAAGTTGTGTCTTATCCAAATTGTTAAATCTTTCCAAATCTCTCCAGATCAATTTGGGGGGTTCTGATTTGATTCAGAGACATTAAAGGGTCTCCTGATTCGATTTGGATTCGGAGATTCAGCCACCAAATTGGGCCGAATCTCTTCCAAATTGAATCAGCAACTGAAGCTTCACGCAGCCCCAGTAGAAGCCTGTCCTGGCTCACAAGGCGTGTAGCAGCAACTCACAGCTGGAGATCCTAGTCAGACCCCTCTGCTCACCAGCTCTGTAGTGGCAAGTCAGGGTCAGGGTCAGGGACAGTCAGCGAAGGTTTTTAGCCTGAATGTGTGACTACACTAAACTCAAACTAACTTTAATAGCAATCAGTATTTGAGAAGCTTAGTGTAATATGTAACAAAGCCCTTACTGATGCAGAGATGACTGCTTGTATTTGCAGAGCTTGAAACATTAGTTCTGAGAAATGAATCTTCTCATTTATTTCACTAGATGCTAACTCAGCTGTTAGTGAGGTACTTCACCTGTTAATATTACTAATAATTTAATCATATGACATCTTATGAAGATCTTTGTCATTGTTAAGGATGGATTTGAAAGCTATATTAACTTACATGCATAGGCTTTCAATAACCCTGACACAGTTGCAAGTTGATTTAATGTTCTGAAAAGTGGTTAACCTGTAAACATTCTAGTAAGCACTACACTAGACCATTTTTACTTATCTATCAGGTCTATCCTTAGTTGACTGGATTCATATTTTTACTGTTTCAGAAGTTTTTTGGGTGGGGAAATTAGTGTAGAACTTTAAGAGAGAGCTTTACTTCTGAGCAAAAGTTATTTATTAAAATATTTCAGGATGAGCTACAAGAAGCAGTTTTTGCTCGTGCAGCAAGACAGCAAACAGCTGACTACTCAGATGACTTTGACACCGATGAAGATGACATGTTAAGCAGTAAGGCAGATGGCTTCAAATGTATTTTGTTTATGTTCTTCACCTCTCTCCCTTCACTAAGGGAACATGATTGAATGTCCAGAGATTCCACATTTTAATCACACTTTAAATTATGAACCTTAAAGAATCTCTGTGACATCAATCAGAACAAAATTGTTGTTCGCTCTCCATCAAAGTGTACAAGGATATCTTAAAGAGATGTTTCTTTTTTTTCCTAAGACAGCCTTAATAAATATCAACTAACAACCAGTATGGAGTTCTGTCTGCTTACTGTAATATGAGAGAGGCAGAGATTTTTTGTAGATGGCATCGCTTATTGGACCAACTGAGTGGTTGGGATAGACTTAGATGAGCTTTCAGGTATCACAGTACCCTTCCTCAGGAAGAGTATTCGTGAGGAAGGGTCCTGGGATACCCAACATCTCATCTAAGTTGAACGGATCACACAAAAATCCTTGACTCTTACAATTCCTGGACCATCATGGCTACAACATTACTCGAACACTACCAAAACAAGGGCAATATGTGTGTTCTGTATGTCATAATATACTTTTAAAGATTTCATCTACATGAAGTCTGTTTCAGTTGTTATTTACCACAGTTATCCCTTAAAAATTCTTTGGCCTGAATTGGCATCCCTTCATGCACATATTGCACAGCAGGACTCATCCTCTGTTCAACATGTTACAGTGTTCTTTAGGATTTGAACCCTGAAAAAGCTCAGAGTCATTGTTAGTAATGGGGGTAAGGTTGCATAACAAGTTTTAATGAACGAAAACTATGTTTTGGGGAACTGCAAAACATAGGGGACAGGACCATGTCTTATTTGAAGAGTTTATAATTTAATTTTAGATATGACACAACTAGTGAGTGTAATTGGAGAGGATATGGAATCACTAGGATTCCAATAATAAGGTTTCATGGTTGCTCATTACTAGTAAGTGCACATCTTTGTTTATTTGTCACTTTTTTTGCTTGTAGTAGTGGATATGTGAGGTTCTGAGTAGTCTTTTGAATCTGGTGACAGGTGGTAGTTTAATTATTAAAGACTGCAAGGATTATTTTGCATAAGGTCCAGAATGGAAAAGGCAGGATAATGACAGAGAGAAAAAAAGCAGAGTATAAAGCTTTACATTGTTCACTGTTGGAGTGATGGGGAAGACAGTGATATAAGCTAAGGTTGTGTGAATAATATATTCTTTTAAAAAATCCTATATTCCTATAAAACATGAAATACAAATTCAGTACAGAAGTTGATAATGTACCATTTTCAGGTACCGTGGAAGAACTTCCTGAAAGTATATCAGCTGTTGAAAATTCACTTAAGAAGTCAGTTGATTTTGAGGTTTCTTTCTCAGATGAGGAGACCCCACAGAAAGTAAACCCTTTGAAAAAGGAAACTGCTGATGGCTTCTTTCCAACAACTGATGAAGAGAAACCTCAACAAGTGATCATTGTGGAAAGTCAAAATTTGAGTGATTACAAAGATGAAAATGTATATTTGCAAAGTCAGAACGTGGGTGATGATGACAGAGAAGATGATAAAAAGTTTTCAGTCACTGAAGAAATTACTTATGATGGCAAAGAAGGTGACCATCAGAATGAGTTGCCTGTGGCTGAGCTGCAGAATAAAAGGGAATCAGTTATTCAAAAAGAAGAGGAAAACAAACCAGTACCAAAACCAAGAGAGCACAGAATAAAAAATGCATCATTTTCAGGTAAAAATCAAGCATGTGAATACTATTGCCTCTATTTATAGATGCATATTGTCATATTTTAAAAGGAAAATAATGTTAAAGAAAGATCTCATTTTTTCCAATGTTGGGTTTGATTTCAACATCCCTAATATTAAAAACTAATTTAAATTCACCTTTTTAAATATTATACAGCTCCCTGAAACATGCAGGTAGGTATATTAACAATACTGGGTAGCTTACACCAGTGTTGAAGTTGCACAGTACTCTGTCTGAATGAGAAAAAGTCATAGGATATTTGTGGCCCAAAAATCTTCCTGCATTCCCCAGTTTGCAGTTCAAAAGTGAACTTTATTTTGAAAATATAGATTTGGTTTTGTGATCTTTATCTAAAGATACATGCAGCCAGTTTCATCCTGGTTTTCTTTATATCAAACAGTCTTTTGTTTTCCATTGCAAAATCTTGAGGGGGGTTTTTTTATTGTAGAAGGCAAAATTAGAAATTTTGCAAATCATCTCTGTTAAAAAAAATTAAAGGTGTCATAAAGTATCTTAAAATGATAAGAAATTGAGCTTTTATCCTACTATAGCTTTTTTTTTTTTGTAAGATTCCCAAGTTATTTTACTTTGAGATAAATCCTTGGTTTAGTCATGATTAATGATGAGAAAAGACAGACTTGAAATAAACAGGGCATGATAAACATTACCAAACACTTTGTAATGTTCCTCATCTCATGGTGTCAGCCAAGCTTCAGATATTTGAATCTAGAAATATAAGACTTTAGACCCTTTTGGCAGTGTGTAACATGACTGTGGGGTTGTAAATATACAGCTTTAGACATTTTTTTGTTAATCTAAAAAGCAGCTACACCACCATTTAATACCTAACCTCTTTGTCTACTGAAGAATCAGCTCTGAAGAATCTTTAATCTTTAATGACTTATTGCTTAGAACAAACTCACTCATATCAAGGAAAACTTTGGAAAGCCTTTTTAATTGAATTAGACTGCCACTAAGAGTCACACTGAGATTTAAGTGGTGTGGATGGCTATGACCTGTTAATAAAATGTGATTTATAAAATGACATTGTGGTTAGTGCTAATTTATATTTTATATTCTTATGCTGTCATGCACATGCACCAGCAATTCCATGGCTATCTGTAGGTTTGAAGGTAAAATTTAGATGCATCAGGGTTTGCAAGGTGAGTGCCCAATATCATTGCTGTATCTTTTTCAAGGGAATGTGGTGCTTGTGACAGTTGCCAAATAGAGTGTCTGTCCTTCCACTGCTGCTTGAATTATGTTTGAAAGGGGCACTAGCTCTGCACCACTTTTAAGTTATGTTTATCAGGAAACATGCTGAATGTAGTAGCTGTTCTGAGGCTCCTCCACTCCATTCCTTGGCAGTGCACCTTATTTCTTTGTGAACACATATTTTTTTTTAATATAAAAAGAACAGATAGCTGCATACAAACATGAGAATACCTCAGGAAACCAACGTGCCCCTCTGTATTTATTTCCAATTTGGTCTGTTCTATCCTATGTAGAAGAATTAGCATAATTTTATAAAAACTAATCCAGTAGAACCTATAAAAGAAATAGAGTATAATGACAATGGAAAGTTTTCCCACAACAAATTGCAGTCTTAGACATTATCTAACACTGCATGTACACTCCAATGTAGTCTATCATGCATATTTGACCTACTGTTACTGCTGTCTGTTTACAGAAGATAGAAATTTATCTGAAGAAAGTTTGTTGAATATAAATGAACAAAATAGACCATATTAAATCAAATGTCTTATTAGTGGGTAGTATTAAAATAGCACTATTCATTTTCAGCTGAGAATATCAGCATTCATCTACTGGAAGATCATTGTAAACCATCACCTCAACCAAGAAGTGTGTTAAGAAGGAGCAGCCCTGTGAAAGATAAAGATAGCACAAGAGCAGAAGATAAAACAACTTCTACTGTTAGGTTATCTTCATTTTCTGCACCATCCTCCCTCACTAGGTTGAATGACCTAATAACATCTGAGAGAAGAGTACTTTCTGAATGCCCTAGTCCTGAGGTAAGAACCCCTTGCATATGTGAAAGTATTATTGGAGTACCCCTTGCATATGTGAAAGTATTTTGTTTATTCATCTATTCTGGACTGTAAAATAGCCCCCTTTTTATTTAGTTGTGATACAGCTTGCCATAACAAGAAAGAAAGGCGCAGGGGGAGTTGCAATCACATTTTAAAACATTGCATCTTGCATTGGAAAAAAGGCTGAGTTTCTGTGCACTACAGCCCTGTAATCTGTGACACTGAATGTTCAAATGTATTGCTGATCACTTTATCAACATACAAGGAAATAGTTTTCCTTTGAGTAATTGTCCACTTGCATATTCTTATTGGTGAGTTTGTCTGATTATGCTCAGTCTCTGGAGTTCAGACTGTCTTTTCTGTGATGGCTTTAATTTCAGGTTCAGACAGACAGCCAAATTGCCTGTTATGCCTGGGGGAGAACCACATTCTTGACATTTTTTCAGTCTGTCTGTTATTCAAAATAGAAACAAGTGAGGACAAAGAATAAGCTTTGACTGTTTCGTTTGCATGATTCCCTTGTCCCCCTTTCTGACCACGCATGCTGGGGTCGAGATCCTCAACGGTATTGTACACCCTCCAACACTGGCGATCAATGTGGAGTGACATCTCCAATGCTAGAGAAATTTGTGTCTTCTCAGTGTTGCTGATCCAGGAAGCAGATTGCTATTCAGAAACTGCTCTAGGAACCTTCCTTCTTGTTATAATGCCAGAAGCAGGGATCCTCTCAACCTAGGAAGGACTTACATGAAAGAGATAAGAATCCCTGAGACTCACTCAGCCCATGTGAACAACACATACCTTGCGAACCTAAAAAGCATAGGCTCCAACCCCATTATTGGGCCCTGAGACTTCTCTGTCTTGTAAGATTTCTACCAAAGTTCATAGATGCTCAAAATGGGACATCCTGCCAGTTCCCAGCACTGAGATTTGCTGCTCAGAGCTTAAGAGGCTGAGGGAGCATGCTAGTGCTGAGCCACTCAAGGGATACAACTCTCTGACCTGGTTGACTTACTACAGTCCAAACCTTATCTCCAGCTGTACCTGATGAATAAGGAACCCTTGGGTACTTAGGAAACAAGATCCTCCTTGGGATAGAGCAGTACACTAGACAGTGCATCTAGCTTGTATGTCACCACTGTCAAAATTTCCAGAAAAGACAATGGTCTGTGTCTAGCCCTGAACTGGCTAGTGGACATACTGCTCATCAGCACCAAATTAAAACTCAAAACAGCAGCAGCAAACTGAACTATTCTCTCTGGTGCTGTTTCTTACCTTGGGGAAAATGTCTGTCTGGGTAAGTTGGATTCTTCTGGTAGGGGTTGAACAAGACATCATCGCTGCTCTTCCTTCTTTCATTAGTGAAAGGCAGACTTTGATCCTAACCCACAGTGAGTTTTGCAATGTTATTAAATCAATTTCTTGACTTCATTGCACATAAAAACAGGAGTCGTATTTTCATTAAGGAATTTTAAATAAATACTGAATAGAATTGTTTATTTTTACGGGTCAGTTAACTGACTTAGATTTGTTGTGACTAGTTCTCATTACTTTAGGCTGTTCCTTTCTGTTTTTAAGGGTCCGTGGCTAACAAGCTCTTCACCATCATTACGTATTAATTTTCCTTCAACTGATGAGAAACCTGGAGATTCTAATTTGTTGATGTGTGGAGAAGGATCTCTCCCTAAAGGTAGAAATCAAAATACTGGTCATACAGGTGTTTATATATGTATGTGTGTGTGTTATACACACAGATCACACACACACATTTGTTTATATAAAGCCAAGTAAAAACTTAACTTAGAAATAAGTGCCTTTTATTATATATATTATATATAATTAGTGTCATTTTGCAGAAGAGGTGGTTTCTAAGATGTATGCTAACACATTGAAATAATGTTGATGGTACATGCTAATCCTGTGTCAAAAGGATTAACAGATTTGAATAGTTTGGTAAACACGGTATAAAAGAAATAGATAATATTTATCTTTAGCAAGACAGTTTGGGAAGTTTGTTTATGTAACTAAACAAACCCTTGGCCACATTTTTGTACACAGTAGATGGCTTGTTTTATGGAAGCATTGATCCCCGTATTTAACCTTGGTTTTGTTAACTTAATTAAGTTCTTAATCCTTCTATTTTCATCATTACTGAAAGGGAATACTAAATACTGTTTTGGGTCTGCCTTGTACATGACAAAAGCATGAAAGTAGTTCATGCCCAAGGAAATTAGGCTTTAAATCTAACACAGGCAAACCCAATGTAAGAGACTGTTGTTAGTAGTGTTTGAATAATTTCTTCAGGCACCAACCAGATTGGGGCCCTGCAATATTACATACTGTATAAACTCTGTTAAAGACATTCTGTAGCATAAAGTGTTTACAACATAGATGTGATGGTCAAAGGGTGAAAAATAAGATGTAACATACAGAATGGTGATTGTTGTGTCATGTCATGGTGTGGACAAATAAAAGTTACACGGGTTTTAAATTTATATTGGTTTACCATGGATCACACTGAACCAAGATAACTGTTTTTCTCAGGCTGCCCTTTCTCTGGTAAGTGTGGAGGTAAACTGTTGTACAGCTAAATCTGTTTCATTCAGGTTAGTGCTTATGGGCATCGCAAATAAGGAAAAAATTAAGGAGAAATTAGAATGTGGAGAACATGTTAACTCTGGAATGTCATAGTTAGAGACGGACAAAATAATAAGGGTAACTTCACTAGTGGAGCAGAGAGAAGAAGATAACATAATAAACAGTACTGAGCTAGTCAGGCAAACTTGTAAAGGGATTTGAAAGACAAGCTGAGAAATTTGATCTTGATGCTGTGATCTTCAGTAAAGGAGTAAGTGGAAGGCTTTCAAGGAAGAAGTGATGGTCTGAACTACCAAAGAAAATATAATACCCAGTGCCTGTGTAGCACTTTTCTCAGGTAGCTATTAGAAAAAACAAGTGATTAGTAATTTGATATCCATGTTACAAACTGAGGCACAAAAATAAAAGTGAGTCACCCAAAGCCATTCAGTTGATCAGTAGCAGATCAAAGAACAGTCCAGTACCATATCCAGTGATTCAATAACATGAGTAGATGCAGCTTAGCTAAAACTTGTAAAGGCTTCTGATAACTTCACTTGGAAGGTCATACATGAATATGCAAATTTTATCTTGATATCACAGATGGGAAATTCAGAAGTTGTCCACACTTAAAATTCTCTTTAGAGCCTTGGGTTTTCTGGCAACTTTCACACCTTAGAATTTCTCCATATTTTTATACTCCCAATCTCTGAAGACTCTGCTCTAAATTGGGGCAGAAACTTATCTTGTTGCACTGAACTCTTAATTAAATCTTTTATTCTTTGTCCAGGAATTTAACAAAAACAGGTTAAAGCAGTGTAATTTGAAAGTGAGGAGAGCCTTTCTTGACTTTTATCACTAAACTCTTTTAGAGGTACAGAAATCCTATTGTTTAGCTATTCAAAACTTAGTAGTTCATAATTGGTGATTAGTCCATTTCTGCATTATTGTAATAAGTGTTTTATCTTAATCCGTTCCACACGCACATAGATACCAGTAGCTCTTTAGCCAGAGCTTCCTATTTCAAAAAGGAAATCATATCTGTGAACCAAATCATGGAATGAGAGAGAAGTAGGGCTGGAAGGGAATTCCAGAGGTCAACTAGTCCAACCGCCTGGTTGAGGCAGGATCATTCCAATCCAAACCATCCTATACAGTCCATAATCTAAACTCTGTGAGAGACTATCGTCAACCCTGACACAACACAGACCTAATGCCCTAAGCAGCCACAGGTAAAGCAGGGGAAACATGGCAACCAACGTTCTGCTTCTATGAAATGTTGTCAGCATATGCGCAAAGTGATCCCAGGTAGGGCAAAAACCCTACAGTCCCTGCCAACCTGACCATAGGGTAAAATTCCTTCCTGACCCCAAATATGGTAATCGGTCTGACCCTGAGCAGAGGGACAAGATCCTCTAGCCAGGAACCTCCAGCTTCGATCCCAGCAGGAGCATTGGCAGACCCCAGTCAAAGTCCCCAGTCTTGGCTTTAGCCAACACCCAGTGCCTCTGAGGGAGGCTTAAAACCCCCCTGAAACATGTAGCAAAAAACATGAGGGTGGGGGTAACCAAAGCCCAGAAATGTGGGAAATACCCATAGTCAGAACATAAGCATAGCTACGCCTATATCATCCCCAACCAGTGGTTGTCCAACCTCTTCTTGAACATCTCCAGTGATGGAAAGTCCACAACTTCCCTAGGTAGACTATTTCACTACCTCACTGTTCTAACAGTGAAGAACTTTTTCCTTATATCCAATCTGAACTTACTTTGCAACTTCAAGCCATTCATCCTCATCCTCCTCTCTGTAATGAGAGAAAAGGTGTTTTTCCTCTCTTTTATGAAAGCCTTTCAAGAATATGAGGACTGCTATCATGTCTCCTCTTAGGCGCCTTTTCTGCGAGTTGAACATGCCTGGCTCCTTCAGCCTCTCCTCATGTGACTGGCTTTCCAAGCCCTTGATGGTCTTGGTTTTCCACCTCTGCACCGTCTCTAACTTTTTAAAATATGGAGCCCGGAACTGCACAAAATACTCTAGATGAGACCTAATCAGTGCCGAGTAGAGAGGTACTATCACCTCCTATGTCTTGCACCTAATGCTTCTGTTGATGCTCACAAAACCACATTTTCCTTTTGTGTGACTGCATCACACTGTAGACTCATATTGAGTCTGATCTACCAAGACTCAGAGATCCTTTTCCATAGTGTTGCCATCCTGTTAGGTGTCACCCATTTTATATTTGGGTTTTTGATTGTTTCTCCAGATGTATAGTATCTTGCATTTGTCCCCATGGAACTTCATCCTGTTAGCTCTGTCATTCAAAGTGTTAATGTCTCAGCAGATACTGGTACAGTTTTTCATATGATCTGTATATTTCTTGCTCTTAGTTTCTACATTAAAACTGTTTCTGGATTTGATCAGATGGCTTAGAACGGCCCTGCAACATTCTCTCTCTAACATGCTACTGATTGTCATAAAATAAAGAATACAGTTGTTACAAGGTTATTATTTGTAATCTGATTTTTAAATATGGTGGAAATTTTGTTTTAAAATCTGCATGTCAGCAACATCCAACCTTATTTTGGTTTCCTTTCATACACTCTTTTAGACCATGTTGAGACAGAAGACAAGTGCAATGATTTGGCATTAGAAGATAATGGGAGAAAATCCCCCTCTGTGATCGAACTAATGATGACTACAGTGTATGAAAAAACTAAAAAATTACACAAATCAAATGATGACTCTCCTGAAGAAAATTTGCAAACCCTGGAAAAGCAAATGATTACCGATGGCATAAAGGAGGTATCACTGAATGATAAACCTGAATGCACGGTTGCAGCGAGTACTTCAAAGGACTCTATCATGGTATCTTTACATGTATTTTTTTTCATAATACCAAATAAAATCCTAGAAGTGTGTATGAACAGTTTCTCTATGAAACTTACTGCTTCCATCTTGCATGTGCACAGCTTTTTTACTCTTTGATAGACCAGTAATCTCTTCCACAGTTTGATTAAATCAGTTCTTTATTAACAATTATTAGGAAGAGGAAGGAGGGAACTTTCACTGTATAAATATTAAAAGTAGGTAAAGATAACAAAGTTTGGCTGAGCCAACATGAGGAGTTCTGCTTCTGCAGTTTAAAATTTACTGGGTCAGATCCCTAGAGTATGAATTAATTTAGCTTGAACAGTTTATACTAGCAGAAGTTAGAACCCAGTTTGTTTGAAGTGCTCTTTCCTACAATGATTTGAATAATATATGGTATGTAATAGGTTTTTTATGCCATAGTACAGGCTAAAAGAAAATATGTAGTTGTACATAATCATTAAGGCCAAACAGAAATGTGAAGACATCTATCCATGGGAACTGTGAAACTTTTAGGCTCTCTGATGGCATTACCATTCTAGAATGTACTTATAACAGAAGTTCTAAAAACAGAGATTTTGATGATTTGAGGCTGTGGATCCAATGCCCTCTTTTACTTTAGACCTTTTGTTAAACTGTTACACTAATGAGTGGTGTTTTTGTTTAAGAGTACAGTAACAGATGTACCGTATTCTCATTCTTATTTATAAGAATTTGCTCAGTGTGTACATCTTGGCTTCATTTGGTTGATTATAAAAATCCTCAACAATAAAAGAAAATGTTTTGTTCACTTTTTTACATTTATATTTTTGCATCCTGCTACTTTCTGAAGTCTGTATTACAGAACTGTCATGCTATATGCTGTAGAGCTAGTTTTGTTGTTTTACAGGCCATACAATATTTTTTTTCTTTTGCATTTGTTAGAAAGATGGTGAAGAAAAACAAGCAGTTCCACAAAAAGTGAAGCCTTCTTCATCAGGAAGGTAAGAAAAAGATGCTTCTATGTCAGAGTTTACGGTCTTACTCTATAGGGTACCATTTCAGAACTTTAAGGTAACCACACAACATACTGGTTACTTGCGTCTTTCTCACCCCAGGCCACTGGAGATTTTGCAGGAGTTTGCATTCAATGGAAAGGTCTTGGCTGTTGGAGACAGATGCACCTTTCCAAGCAGATCAGATATCACAGGGGCTTTTTACTGGAGTCTACCACTGGCGTGACAAGTGAATCTAGCCCACAGATTTCTTGTGGTTGCTGGAGTAAAGGATATAAAGCTTGCTTCACTTCATTTAATTAAAATGATTATGCTTCTGGAGTTCACATTCTGCACTGGCTTGTTTCAGCTACGACAAATTCCACATAAAAGAACAAATGTGGAATAGATTCTCCCTCACCCTCTGAAAATTTAAAAGTGTTTGAAAACAAAATTGTAATCAAAGTTGTGATATTACCTTAGTGTGAAGGGATGGAACTTTGCATATGGTGGAACTACTGGAAAGCTTATTTTAATATATTTGTGAAATGCTGGTTTTATAGGTCCCTGACATCTACCTATATGAAAAAAGCCGGGAAAGCCATTCCTCCATCTACAACTACGTCATCTCAATATTTGGGTACATTAAAGGTCTTGGACAATAAACATTTACAGAAATATAGTGCTGAGCTTGACAAAGCAGATCACTTACGGGCAGCTGTTTATCAGGTAACCTTTAGTAAATCCCCTGCAAAAAGGGTTCTTCTCAATCAGTATAAATGCCTCTTATGTTTTTAAATCAAGATCTATATGTATGTTAAATATATTGGTTATTTTAGATTTAATGATCCTTTGGTTCCGTTAGCCATCCTTCACTAGAAAGTCTGAACCAATAAGGTTTGATATGGACTAGAAATAAACACACTAATGCGCAATTTAATGTTTGAAAATGTTTTGTCACAACTCAATAACCAATTTACTTTATTGTATTTGGTACTTAAAAAATAATTACTATATAGCTACAATTCCTTTTGCTTATATATTCTCAATGGCACATGAGAAAAGTAAAAAAAAGAAAGTTAGATATCAGACCTAATATTATTATATCTGTACCAGCATAATCCTTGTGGTTTTTATCATTCTGTGTAGCTAATATTAGCATAAGTTTCAATTGTGGTTCCAAATATTGATCAGAAGGTGTTTCCACATGACAACAATCATATCTGCTTAACAAAATAGATATACATACCTGTACACATTTGTGGAGTTTGTATTTGCTCTAAATGCTCTGTAAGCTCAAATACTTTGTACATTGCCATTCATAGCCATTTTCTGAAGCTCAATAAATGGTCTCAGTTTAAGATTTTTTAGCTTTTTGGTGGAACACAAGTGCAACATGATTAAGTCTACAAAATTTGGCTGATCATGCAAGCACTTGCCTACTTGTATAACTGTATTAATGTCTGTAATTCTACTGATGTCAATGGGCTTATTCAATGAGCTTAATTGCAGATATTTTTTAATTATGTCTAGGTTTTTCCCTAAATCCCACATGACTAGAATAATTTGTTCAAGCCTTTAAAAACACCATGCCATGATACACTTACAATACTATTCTTTTAAAAATATTTTTATAGAAGGGCTTAGGAGCTGATAAATTAGTTTTACGCATATAATATTCTTTCTTCGTTTTTTACTCCCAGTTACCATTCTCCTGAAGACTTACTGAAAATTTCTTGGATGGTAGAACTGTGGAATTTTGTTTCACTTGTATTGCTGCTACTACTTCTCCCTTCTTCTCCTTTTCTTTAACACTTTTTGCAATATTGCATTCATCTTCATTAAAATAACCTAGTTCTTTTTTCCCTCTCTCTTTAAACATCCACGCAATTGATAAGGATGTTTCATGTGCTGCTTATTTTTCATAGTAATGTGACTTAAGTAATTGTATCTTCCAAATACAATTATTACTTACAGCATAAAACAAAACTGATGATTCTTGTATATAAAAACAGAAATACTCACAGCATTGCCTGTGGTCAGGGCCAGATTCAGAGGAGATGCCACGGTGCAGTTGAATCTCCCTTTTGATTCTTCATCCACCCAAAGTTTAAGACCAATTGCCTGACAGTGGCAGCAGCATTTCTATTCAGGCAATAATAAGGGAGTCAAATGACTTCATGGCTCATTATAATCTACCTGATCCCTTCTAAACACTTTGTTCCACAGGTGTTAACAACTCTGTCTCCTTTTTAATGGACTTGATGTTCCACTAATAAAGCAACATTTTCTTCTGCAATTCTGCTGTTTGTTACCTGTTCCTGATAATCTAGTTCCTATTTCACAGCTCTGCCAACTGTTTTTAACTCTGCCTAAAAACATTAACTCAAGTGTGGAAATCTTAACTCAGGTGAATGTCAACTAAGGTGTGGAGATAACTTTTAGTGAAGAATAGGATACAGTATCAAGAGGCTCAGGAGGGTTAGATTTTGTTATGAATCTGAAAAAGAGATATACATTTTAGTCTAATAACTACAGGACTAATGGAACAACATCTTTTGATTATTCTTGCCTAATTTGTTTTTTTTCCTACACAATATGTGATAAAGCAAATTAATGAATATTCCAGAAATGTTGCATTTGTTTTCACTTTGACCTTAAACTGAATAATATAGCCCTCAGCATATTAGTAAAGATTCTAGTTTCTTTTAACTGGAAAAAAATGTGTGATGTGTTGTGATAATATATCACACCATCTGCACTCCCTTTTCAAAATCCTAGATCCACCCATGTCTATAGGTTTTGTTTTTTTTAACATCAAATGTTGTAACATTATTATATTTAATTATTATGTTTAGTTATATATAGTTTGTTATTATATTTAGTTTATATTTAGTTAATATAGTACAAAATCTCTAGCTGCAGTTTAAAACTCTTCATCTCCCATTTTCTTCCTTTCCTTTATAGGATTGGTTGGAGAAGAAAAGAGTCTTTCTACTGGAACTACAGAGAATTAAAAGGAACAAAACTGAAGACTTAAGGAGCAAAATCGAAAAGGTTTGTTTGAATACATGACTAAAGGGAAGCTTAGCAAGCTGCCACTGAAGCAGTCATCTAGATCTGTATTGCTGTATTAGGAAAGGAAACCCAGAAACAAAACCCAACTGTTCTTGACTTGAAGTAAGATTGTTCCTTATGCTCTGGCCTTCTTATACCACTTTGCCAGCAGAAGGCAGATGTAGTAGTTCTACAGCTGTGTAAGGAGCATAGCTGGGAAGAGGAAGGTGACTAGTGCTTCCCTGCACATTTATATCTTCCACGTGCCAGGTAAATTGAGCCACTCCAATACACCTCTCTTGTTTTTGACTATGTGCTTCTTAACTGCTACTGGCAATCTAGGTCAGTCATCTTACTTTTATTATGATGGTTATCAGATATTTTCTATTCCATATATAAAATGTAATACTGTCACAGTTCTGAAGAGTTATTTGCCCATCTTGATGGCTTTGTAGGTACATGTGTACAGCAACATTTACACCATTAATAGATTTCTTTTCTTTAATTATCTACTCTCTCTCTCCCTAGTTGTTTTTCTTACATGGATTTCATAGGTAAAGCAAAGTAAATGTTAAAGCAGCAAATTCTGTAAAATGCAGTCAGCTCCATGGTTTTAGGTCATACAAATTGGTCATGGTTGAACAGTAGTTCAAATCACAGTTGAACCATTTAATTTAAAACGTTCTTTGCTTATCATTTTGCTTTCCATTATATTTTTGTCTAATGCTAACTTTTGAGAATGAGTTTACAATATGCAAAGTTTTTAATATATAAACTTGCATTTCCTATCTAGGAAGAAGCTGCTAAGAAAGAGGAAGCAATTGCATCATTTGAAGCCTGGAAGGCAATGAAAAAAAGAGAAGCAAAGAAACTAGCTGAAAAAAAGAAGCTTGAGGAGCTGAAAAAAAGAAGAGCAGCAGAACAGAATGAGGAGAAAAAAGAAGAAGCCCAAAAGGTAAGGTGAAATGTGTCTTTCAGATACTGTCCATCAGATCTTAGTAATAGTTTCATGAATCACGACAGGAGACGAGCCTGAACTAGATTGATAAATCTGGACAATAAATCCTCCCTATTCTTAGAATATGTTCATATCTGGTTGTTAATTGAGACTTAGATTTTTGAACATAAAATACTTTATGTTCTATATTGAAAAAGTAATTATCAGGCTACTAACATTGACAGCAGAGAGACCTGATCTGGGAGTAGTAAATTCTTTCTTCTCTATAAAGCAGTTTCATCTCCTGAGCTACCAATAGGCAACATTATAAGCGAACAGTTTAAAAATGGATGTGTAGGACTATAAAAACATCTAGACTTATCAAAGGGGTGACACAAAGATGCCATACAACTTTACTAATGGATATGGACTTTGTTTCAGGCATTTGAAAAATGGAAAGAAAAGAAAGCAGAATATCTGAGAGAGCGAAGTAGAAAAGAAAAACAAGCTGAACAAATCAGGAAGAAGAAAGAAGAAGAAGTTATTGCAGAAAAGAAGAGAGAGAGCGTGTCTGCAGTTGAAAAATGGTATCACTACATAGAGTTTAGTTGCATTTAACTCTACCATTTTTCAGGAAGTAGTTGACAATACTTGATTAAATCTTCTCTGAGGGCCTGAGAAGGCTCCTCTATTTTCATTGTGATGAATAAGAAGGAATAGTGTTCAGGGCATCACAGGATCAGGCTTTTCATGCATTGCATCATCATGTAGCCCTACTTTTGTCTCATTTGGTCACCTCCAAAAGCATACCACACGGCTGCCTTCAGTTTAGTAGCTTGAACAGTCTCTTTGTGAGAAGGTAATGACTTGGAAGGAGCAAACACTGCAGCTCAGAAGTAAGACTGTTCCATATTATCTTGTCCTACTAATCCCACACTTTGTTAGCGAGCTAGGGGGAAATATGGAAACATTTCACACTTCAGGTTTTAACATAGGCAAACAAGGCATATACAGTAGTATGTGAAATGTAGCTGCTTAATAAATCCATTGTTACATTTATGAGAACAGGTGGTGTACTGAGTACTTTACATAAGCATCAAGGTTGATCCCCTGCAGAGCATACACATATAAATATTTCACTTTGTGCAAAGGATGGCAGGAATAAAAAGGAAAGACCAAGCCACAGTAATATAAAAGGCAATGCAGTTACGGAGGTGCGTATCTTGATGATGCAGGGTCTATGTGCGCACATCTACACATGATATTAATGTGACACAATAAACTCTGGCACAGTTCATGCTGGAGTGTATTGCTTCTGGGCACAATGTTTACATGTGCACCCGGGACCACAGTATGTTGAGCTGGGGCAGCCGGGGGAGGGTTATTTTGCCAGCTTGGAGCTGTTCTACTTTTGGTTCAGTGTGCTGTGGAGGGGCTGGCTGGGGCACAAGGGTATGACAGTGTGGGTCTAGCCAACAGGCAGCCCTGTACTGTAGCACCCTCATGCCCCAGTCAGCCCCAGTCACTTTCTACACGTGCATTGTGGTGGAATAAATAACTCCAACGCAGAATAGTACTTGTGTTGGGCAGTACTATCCTGTGGCAGAGTTAATTTGTTTACTCCAGCCTAATAGCACCACTCGTGTAGATGGTGATGCTTTACTGCCGAGCTAATTAGGCAACTCTGCTGTAAGCATATCGTGTAGATGCATCCTGTATGTCTCTAAAGATTTTAGAAACTTTTATTTGCTTGTAACTTATCCATGTATTATGTTATCAGTAAGTATAAAAATATCCACACTGACATTGCTAATGATATCTGACTAATCAGCTTTTCATCTGTTCAGGAGTATCTTTTATTCTTCTCCCTTAATGTTTAGGAAGGAGAAAAAGGAAGAATTTATTAAACAAAAAAACGTAGAAAAAATCCATGAGAAGAAAAACGAAGAAATTCAGCAGGCTGAGAGGGAAGAAAAGGATAAAAGGGCTATTGAGGAATATGAAAGATGGCTGGTAAATACTTTTTATGCTTTATCAAAAACCACAACAAGAAATATAGTAGGTTGTGAGGTTATTTTGAATTATCTTCAGTTCTCTTCTTGATTTTATAAAAGTGACCAGATGATGGCAATATTATACCAGCTTATACCATTTCTGTGAGGGTTCTTTTGCAAAATAATTATGCAGTACAATATGCACATGGTATCTGACATACATGGAAAATAGATTCTCCCTACCTGTGTGTGGTAGGGTTCTTTCAGTTTTATAGTCAGTCTTCTCTTCTCCCATTCAATGTCAGGAACAGCCACTTCTGAAGGGCCATCTCAGCACAGCACAGATCCAGGAAAGGCTAGCAGCAGCACCAGCTGCAAAAGTGAGTGCATTTATATTCAAGGAAATCTTCAGGAGGGGGGTTGTATAAATCAAAATATAGAAAAATTGTTGCATTGAAGTTTGCAATTATATCCATCTGCAGAAAGGGTTGACTTTTGTGCTATCGCATAAAGAAGTCATAGGAGCCCCTTATTCTTACAAACATTAACAGGACAAGATTTCACTAACTACTCAAGGGAGTACTGTTGTTCTCTCAAAGGAGTATAATTTTCTGGTAAGGGGGATGTTGAGCTTACTATCCTCTCCCCAGTGTCTGTGCTGTTGCTCTGTGACACACCAAGACTGCAGTACTTCAAATGTTTATGCACCCTTGTTGCATAAAACTGGTTGAGCTCTCCCATGCTACTGTAATTGGATCTTGCCACATTGGACTTGGGTGCCTTTAAGTTTCCCCCACTCTGAGTGAGGCAAAACACTGTTTCTTTCCTATTGTATGCTTCCTAGGCATAGAGCCTTCCAGAGGTTTACTCTGTCATGGAAACAAGAGCTGGTACCCCAGTTAACGTAGGTACCCAGAGCAAGTGCTGGCTTTGTCCCATGCTGTTATCATCTTGAGAACACCCTTTCCCAAAGATCTGACTTTTGGGGTATGCTCTGTGTCCACTCTTCAGAATAAGAACTGTAACAGATGCACAGACATTATAAGAGCTCCAAGAACCAATTTCCCCCTTGTAGGTTACATCAGAGTCTTCTAAGAAGATCAGGATCCCCTCTCCTGCACATGGTTTTTCCTCTGAATCAAGTAGTGTTTCTGATTCCTATAGTCATGATTTTCCACTCCCTAAATTGACAGTTGAAAAACCCTTTAAGTTATTCAGTTCTCCTTGTCCAGAGACTTTTGGATCTGTGTTGTCATGTGATTAAAGTCCTCCACCAAGTTATTTGTTCCTTAGTTACCACCCTTCTGCAAATTTGACATGTCTGGGACAGTAGCCATCTCTTTGACCAGCGTGCTCAATTTAATAAGCAGTCTTCAAGGATTAAAGACCTTCTATTGTTACACTCATTCTGGATGCCAAAATTTCTGTTTCACCTTTTGTGGCTTGTCTCTTAATGTGGGTATAAAAGAAAAGAGAGAAAGTAACCGTGTCATACATTCAAAATGAAGTTTGCAATTTGACACACAACTGAGAAAGACCTCATTTGTTTCTAAGCTTACATCTACATATTTGCATAATGTTTGCAGCACTAGAGTCTAACTGGGCATGCTAGTTGCTGCTTTTCTGAATAGGAACAGAGTTTATCAGCTCTATCTCCACAGTCCTTTCCTTTGTCATAGTTGAAGAGTCATTATTTTAGGTATCACATCAACAGGGTATCCACTCATCCATGTTCTGCTGCCAGAGTACTGTTTAGCTTTTCATGACAATAATTAGAAACAAAAGTTGCATTTTCCATAAATTTAGGAACACTTATTTAACTGAAGCTGTCAAATTATTGTCTAGATAATCAAAATAATGTTTGTATCCATTAAATAATATCAGTTTTAAGATAAATAAGTAAAATTAATTTTTATGTCAAGGATAAATGAATAATAATTTAAACCTAATAGTAACAATGATAGTCTTTAAAAATTTCACTAACAATCAATGGGAAAAATTGATTTTGAGAATTAATTTTCACATAGTGTTTTTAGTATAAATAATACAAAACAGGAGTTAAAAACTCCTCCTTAAATGCATCTAAAATATAAATGAACAACAGAATGAAGAATATTGTTATTACTGTAGTGTTGTATATTTTGTATATACCTTTAGAAACCCTTCTGGATGCTTATCTCAACTTAAGTCCATTGGAAAGTTTTTATATTGTGGAAATAAATGCCCTAAGAAGGAAGATACTGAGAACTTTTCATTAATACTTCTAAAAATCTAACAGAAAGTAAGATAACCCTGAGTTGAGATTTCCCATGCCATTAGTTGAACACATGGAGTTTTTTTTCTACAGCATTTGCCTCTTGATCAGTCATCAAACACTACTGAAGCCAGTCTAGACCATTACAGAGAGACAGTGTTGGGGAATAATTACTTTTACCCAATTTATTCATCACTTTCTGATAAGTATCACTGACCTACATTTATTCTGTGGGGTGAAGTACCAAAGCTGTGCTTTGAGTGAGCTTACAGACATGCCTTTGCATTCTCTTAATGCTTTGAGATTTTCCAAAGATACTTTATAAATTATTTATTTGTTAACCGCAATATTGGTGGAGTTCCTATTAATTTTGTGATGTTAATCCTAAATATAGATCTATTTTAGGCATAGTAATAATGTACCTATGTACATCTGTTAATATTCAGCAATATATAAGCTAATAGCCCGACCTGGTACTAGCTGGGGAGCAGTGAAATTTCTACCAAGAACTTTTTCAAACTTATAAATCCTGAAGATTCATATAGCAAGTTTCTTTATCATGTAAGAAGTAGCTGAAGCCTAAAAATATTGAGCACTGATGTACAGTGTACCTTCTACACTGTCAAGTAAGCACACCTTGAAATAATTACATTATTGGAGTTACTCTAGGAGTTGACTTACATAAGCATTAACAGACTTGTTACTATTCTTTGTTGGAAATACCTTATTTGGATGATTTATTAATATTTTGATAATGAATTTTTCAAAAGATTTTTGTATGTTGGAAATCTAGCCTAGTGCTTGGCAGTGTTGCAAAATGGGCTTTATTACTTTTCCTCTTAAACTCCCTGAAGTTTCAGTAACTATATAAAAATATGCTGCAGCCATGCCTCTGTGGAGTATAGTCTTATCAGACGCTGTAAATGAAAAAAGAATAGACGTACTAAATAGTTGAGTGGGAAACCTCCAAAGAGTCCTCAATACAAACTTTATTTGTTGTATAGCAAGCTATAGCTGCTATTTCGCTTCCAGCTGTCTGTCTTCTGCAATTGGCCATGTTTCTTCCAACCTTTGTGTGCACACAACTGTGTTGTTTGTGGGGAAAGAGAGGATTTTAGTAATTTCTTAAGGGACACGAGCAGCATTCAGGAGAATAAATGTTTTCCAACTACTCAGTTGGTCTAATAAAAGATACCACATTTACCCAAAGAACCTTGCCTGCCTATGTCTTTAGACCAGTGGTCACTAACTGGCAGATCGCAATCTACCAGTCTATCAGGGAGTGCCTGACAGTTGATCTCAGTCTGGGGGTGCTGTTGACTGAAATTGACTGTCACAGGGTCCATGATTGGGAGTGGCAGGATGTATGAGCAGCAGGACGCATGTGGCTGGGCTGAGCCACATCCCCTGCTGCCAGGTGAGTAGGATGATCCCCCTCCATGCCCCCCCGCCACTGGGTGAGTGGGGTCCTGGCTGGGCAGGCCGGATGAGGGTCAGAACCTGGGCAGCTTGCCCAGGTGTGCAGGGAGGGGGAGGGGGCTCCCGCTGCTGCACACACCCTGGCATGGTGTGTGCAGGGGGCCTGTTTGTGGCATGGTGTGTGCGGGGGGCCTGTTTGTGATGCGGGTTCCAGCTGCACTGCGCGTCAAACAAAAGACAGCACTTCCGAGCACCATTACTGTCCCGCTGCTGCTTTATTGTTCTGAGCTGCTGGACCTGAGCTTGGGGTGGCCTGTGTCAACCATATGGTGCCAGGGATGGAGGCAGGACTGGAGTGGGGCAGCTGGTTGGAAACTGCCCCCTAATAATTTTTTCTCCCTTTGCCTCAATCTGCCCCTCCTCTTCCCTCCCCACAGACTAACCTGCGGGGCAGGGGAGGAGGGGGGGTTCTGGCAGTGCATGATAGATCTTGGGTTGCTTTTTAATTCAAAAAGTGATCTCCAACTTAAAAAGTTTGGAGACTGCTGCCTTAGACCAACATGACTACAACCAAAAACCCAGTACATGACTTGAGTGCCTGTTGCGCAGGGATGTAAAGTTAGTAGGACAAAAGCGGTTGATAGGGTTTTAAAAGTAATTTGACAGTCAAAACCAAGAGATTCACTCTGTAAAGACACTTGATTAGTGCAAACTAAGGTTGGGAATCTAAACTTCAGAATTCAGAGAATTAACTAAGATTTCCAGATGAACTGTAACTTTCCTCTTTGAGTATGTACTTTGCTTTGTGCCTTTTTTTTTTTTCAAACCTTTACATGATCAGACTATATCTGCATACAGATGGCAGTGTATAGTGTTTTATATGACTACATATGTGCAATTCCTTTGTAATGTGTTATTTGTTAAGTAATAACAACCAGTGATATATATCCAGATGGTATTATGATTGTTCAGAAAACAAATCCAACAATACATGTATAATTATGGCAGACAGTGAACATTAAATCATATGTTAAAGGATCTGCTTATCCAGAACTTATATAGAACTCACAAGTATCTTGCATTTACTTTTTTTAAAAATATTTTTAAAATAATATTGATAGATTGTCAGATTCCTTCCTGTTCAAATCATTCCTAACATTCCTTTAGTAAGTCCTAAAGCACTAACTTGCAGCTTGAACTAAGGACCATAATCCTTTGGTTTTGAAAGTAAAATTTTGAGGAATCAGGAAAGCAAGATCAGTATCGACTGAAAGATGGAAAATTCAAGTGAGCCATTCTGGAACCTCAAACTGAATATTGCTGTAATAGGGCACCATCCCCAGGGCAGCTGAGAACTCCTGGAGGTACCCCAGAGTCCTCTTTATTGTAATCCACTTCTAGGAACAGTCGCCCCTTTGCTTTCCTGCCACGTCTTGATGTTTCTTTTGGTTCTCAAAGGGGAGGCTGCCCCAGGGCTTCCCAGATCAGGTCTGTGCTCCAGAGACAACCCAAAGGTGAGAAGTTCCTGCATTAAGAGAGAATTGCGTGGGTCCATACCATCCCTACACTATGCCCCATGCCTTGAACGTGTTATACAACTGTTGTCACCTCTGGAGTCTCAGCCTATTTGGCCACTGCACCTTTAATGTGGCTAGGCCTTCTAGCCTAGGCCCACTGTGTTGGACCTAGCTTTGAAGTGCTAGCTCAGCTCCCTCCTTCCGTTTCATTGGGCCCCAGGCTGCTGTCTGCTGCACACCTGTGGTGCCAGGGTCTCGGTCCCCTATGTCTCTGTGCCTTGCGCTGTTTGCCAGGCTCCACTACTACTCAATACTCACTGGAGCCTTAAGCCTGCCCCTGGCAGGGCTTGACGCACTTATGTGCCTCTGGGCACTAATGAGGCCTCCAAACCTCCCCTTTAAGCCTCATCCAAAACCTCTGGTTTAAACTACAACATAGCCCAGAGGGTTTCTGTTTATAATAAAGAAAAATAATAGAGGCAGTGTGTCTGCTTATCCCATGGCTCCTTTTCTCTAGGTCTTTTTCTCTTGTTCTGTGCCCTGGCCTGCAGAGTTGTTTTCTTCTGGTCTCCTGGGCATTCAGGAGCCTACACTCTGCCTCAGCCTGAGCTGGCTGGCTCCCACTGGCTTATATAGCTTTGGCCTGAGCTCTTTCCTGGTCATGTGACAGCCCCCAGTCATCTGACCAGCCTGCAGGGCTACGCTTTAACCCAGGGGTGGGCAAAATGGCAGATCTTGCCAGCAGCCATACTCCATTTACCAGCAGCCCCTCCTCACATGGCTGGGGCCAGTCTCCATGGAGACCCCAGCCCCACCTGTGCTGTGATAGCACAAGGCTGGGGTTGCCATGAAGACGGGCCCCAGCTGCGCCGGCAAAGTGTGCAGCAGGACAGGGCAGGGGGCTACTCTGGACCCACTGGGATCTTGCAGCGGGGCAGCTTGGTCTGGAGTCAAGGCAGAGCCACTATCTACCTTCCACACAGTCTGGGCACCTGTTCACCACAGCACCCCAGGGGAAGACGAGAAACAATGGATACAAACTGATTGAAAATTGCTTCAGGTTGGACATAAGGAAAAACGGCATTACAATTCGAGTGCCTAGGGTCTGGAACAGACTCCTGCCGGAGGTGGTACAATCACCTACTCTGGGGATGTTAAAATCATCTTGATGCACACCTTGCTGGGGTCATCTGACCCCATCTTTCCTGCCCAGGTGCAGACGGGCTGGACCCAATGATCTCATGAAGTCCCTTCCAGCCCCAAACATCTATGAATCTATGAAATATTTGGGTATATATTTAGCGAGACCAGACTGCTGAATCCCAATTGTATAGCATTTTAAAGGGAAGTACTGATAAAATTGAGGTTGCCATCTTAATTGAGAATTTCATCAGTTGGGACATTTAAGTTTATATTAATTAAGATTTTGTAAGTGTATAAGTTGAAGATCACCCTGGTTAGATAGATGTTTTCAGTGTTTGCAAGTCTTTCTTAAATTACTTTCAAATATTAGTGAATATAATTATAAAAAGGCAAAGAATAAAGAGTACTAGTAATAACTGTTCACAAAAACTACCCATTATTGGAATAGCAAGATTCTAGGCAAAATAAATTGTAAATATCTTAAAACAGACCTGACTAAAATTTCACTTATTACATTGTGAAATAGTAATAGTTTGTTTGAAAAATGTGAATTAGCCATGCACAACATAGTATTGGAAGCACTCTGCTTACCCATCATTGTTCTAACTACGCAATGCCCAAAAGTTTGAAGCCATCAAATAAAACCTCATTTCAGTGTTAATATAAAATTAAAATGACACAAGCATATTTTTAACTTAATTGTTCAAGTCCTGTTCTATTACAGTATAGGGCTTACCAAACTCCATTTTAATGAAAGCAGTATGTTTTACTTTGAGATTTAGGAGTCCTCCTGAAATTTACACTTAAAATATGTATAGCCTAGTGCAGGTATTATTTGCTTTGCCCTGTGTTATGCTCTGGTTTGAGTAAGACATGAAATTACTTAGCATGCTGACACTCCCTTTTGAATTAAAGTATATATGTAGTACATTAGATTCATTGCACATTATTATTTTATTTCATTTTATTTTATTTTACAGAGGATGAGATACAGTGATAACCCCTAATTTTTTCCTGACATAGTACTGCTTTGACACAGCCTATTCTTTTTTACAGGAAAGGAAAGAGAGAAGGGAACTGATTGAGAAAAAGCAAAAGAAGCTCCAAGTTATTCTTGAAGATGAAACCCCTCCTCCTTGGAGCCCACCTGGCAAAGTTACATCTACAAGGAGTTACTGATAAGGCCACCACCTTCCGTGAGGAAAGTTCATGTCCAAAGCTCTGACATTGTGTAAACATTATTCCACAACACCTGATTTTAAATTGAATCAACATCGGCTACTGCATCCTTTCTTTTTAGGTTGAATTTAGTCTCTTTTGTGGAACACCTAAGTGCACATCCTAAGTAGATCAGTTGTTCTTTTTCATTGTATTTCACCAGTTATTTCAGAGTTAATTTTTTTGTTAGCCTTGTATTGGCTTGTTCATTTTAGTGAAAATGTACATTCAAGACCTTGAGGGCCAACACCCTTTTTTCCACTGAATAATAATTTGCCCCAGGTAGTTAATCAGAAAGCAAATAAGAGTTCTAGTCAACGTGAATAAGGAAGTCAGAAATTGGTCCCAAATGAGTAGTCTATGTAGGGTTAAGTTAGTTCTCATTCAAAACACAGGGCAAAGTAGTAGAAAGTACCATATCATTTTACATTCAGACAAGATCTAAAAATCAAGTTTATATGTCAAAGGCAGCCAAACTTCCAAACCCCTTTATGGGTGCAAGCAGAAGTAACAATTGAAATGCTTCAAAGGGCCATCCCTTTTACATAGATACTATAAACCATTGTCCAATATCTGAATAGTGGTAAGCAAGGCAAGGGGAAATCAAAATGGCAGTTTTCACTATATGTTGAAACTGGCAATATGCAGTAGGATAGCATAAGCTTTTGCAGCAGCATAAGCAACTTATTCATTTTATATGCTTGGAGTGCGAAGGCCTGATAATGCTGTTCCTAGAAAGGAAACATCCAGAGAGGATATCACTGTTTTTTTAAATAAAATAATCTCTTTCTTTTTGGCCTTAACTAAATGCGAGGTAGCAAGCACATTCTGTGGTGAGGGCTAAATTAAGTTTTGATGATCTGGAGGCCAGTGTTCAGTAATAAGGTTTTATGCTAACAGTGTAAAGTAAAAAGACCAGGGCTAGGATACAGGCCTTAAATAAGTAGAGAGGTGTGGTGCAGCTGGCAGAAATTCACAGGTGAATAGTAAAATAGCCAAAACTGTGGCTTTAATAATTATAAAGCTATTTGTGATCTTTTTTTCTTGAATGCATTAATTGGCTGGAAAAAACACTTTTAAGGCTAGAGTCACAAAACTAGTGGTGATGTTGTCCCCCTATTGACATAATACTTTGGGGTAGAGCACCTTCCCAGAATGTGTGAAACCCAATATTTTCCTTTGTCACAAAGGCTTTGCCCTGTCTTCTACCTCTTGGAGTATCCCAAACACCAGGCTGCTGGTTAATTTGGGAGAGGTAGGGTATTCTGTTGGTACTGTTCCATATTGTATGAATCAGTGGTTTCAAAATGGTGGTCTATGAAACCATGGCAAATGACCCACAGGTAAACTGGATTGCATTGGACCCATAGTACATCATATAGTGTTTTCAACTAAAATCTACTGTGCATAGTAAGTGTGCACAGTGGTCTGTGAGAAATGTTGAGAGTTCACAAAGGTCCAGTGCTCCAGAAAGTTTGCAATCACTGGTATAAGTAATTGAATGTTCTCTGAAGCAGAGGCAAAATTTCTGTGACTTGCCTCCCAAAGAGTACCCTCACCACCAGGCTTGAAGGACACAGTCTCTTTCTCCTTCTCAATAACAATTTAAGTATTTTGTACATAGCGGAACAGCTTCAACAAGAAAAACTGAGACCCACCTTGGTGTTTAGGACAAGCACCTAAAAAGCAGGAGACCATGGGTCAAATCCTTGTTGTGAATCTGCAAGACAGTGGAACTCACTCTGGGTCTCCTTTCTCTTTGTTGAGGGCTTTAATCAGCAGGCTATAAGGTATTGTAAGGTGAGTCTCCCTTGGTTCCTCTTACTAGAGCTGCTCTACTTCATACAGTCTCTTTAGGCTTGAGGTTAGGATATTCAGCCTTAATATAAAATGCACAGATTCCTGTAACTGTTTGTTTATACATAGTTAACATTGCCAACAACAGAAGTTGCAAATCCATGGATATGTGTATGTGTGCACAACTGCTGGTTAGGACACTATCCTGAGATGTAGAGTAAGTGGATTCAAGTATTCTCAGATAGAGGCAGGATTTAATTTGGATTTCTTATGTCCTGGTTGAGCGCTCCAATCTGGATTTATTGAGCAAAACACAGAATGTGTGTCAGAGGAAGATCCAGATTCTGTGTCTAGCCTTTTCTTTATTTTCTGTACTTTTCATATAAGTGACCCTAAAAAATTAAGCATTTCATTTTGGGTTGAATGAAACATTTTGCTTCAAGCAATATGGCAGATGAACAAATCTGTTTTCACACAGCCCTACTGTGCTGTGACAGGCATTATATGCTTACAAAGGGACTTAAAATTGTGGGGGAAGAGGAGAAGGAAAAGGAAGAATCTCTACCTTAATCCTTGTAAGGGCTAGCAGAACTAATGTGGGTTGGATATGTAGGACAGAGTGAACACTATGCATGTACTGCTTCACACTTAAAAAAAGGGGTGGTTGGGCACTGGCTAGGGCAGATGAGGGATTGGGGGTGTGGTAGGCATCGTAACCTGCTGATAAACAGCAGCAGAAATGTCTGTCCTTCACCCATGAGGAAGGAGAGAATAGGGAATTGTCTCTCAAATGTGATGAGTCTTGGGAACACTTCATGATGCTTAGTGCTGTCAAAAGGCATACTATGGACCCTACAAAAAGGGTTTTGACCATTTTTCTTGATTAGCCTTAATTAAAGTGTACACTGATCAAAATTGAGACAGCATACTAGAAGTGCTGTCTTTTGTGATTAATCCTTTAAATACTCTCAGAGATTTTTACAGAGCCTTAAAATTGTGCTTTCATGTTAGTCTTGAGGACTAAGAGCTACTGCTGTGTCATTATTAAAGATGTGTTACAGAATTCACTTTTACAGAAACTTTAAACTTGCATTTTGTGAAAATCCTACTGACATAAAGACCAGAATATAGAATATATACTTTAAGCACTATCTGATAGTTTTTCATAATAATTGATGGAATATAAGATAATACTGAAAACTTAAGAATAAAAAAAACCCTACCACTTTCAGTGATTTCCCATTACAACTCTGGTTTCTCACTTGTCTTTGCACACTTTTACTAGTCAAAAACACTTTGAACCTGTTTCCTGGCCACATGCCGACTCCAAAAATATCAGCATGTGCATATGCAGAGGGAGAGAAATTGCTGATAAAACATTTTAACACTCTGTAATACTTTGAAATCTGTCTCAAACCAGATACCCAAAAGGAAATGATATGCAATAATAGAGGGCTGTCCAATCTTACAACAAAGGCATAATAAATTCCAATGCCTGGAAGCTTGAAATTAAACCTCTTTAACCTTGAATAACATGAACTTTCTTCATCAAACTTCCTCTCTAATGCAAAATCAACAGTATTAAGCACAACAGTTTCCCAGATGCATGAAAAGAGCAGCACATCTGTCCATTACTTTTAATTAATAGTAACCACACACCTTGGCTTTTATGAAATTTTGCATTAAAGGGTGAGCATTTGTTACTCTTGGGCATCTGGTGGAGATGGAAGTAAAAGTCTTAGAAAGCATTGGAGTGTATTATCAATAGTGGTCTAGGCAATATAAAGCTGAACAATGGGAGCATCTACTTGGGTTCTTTAATGCACAGTAGACTATTTTACTGAGCATTAAAGCATCACATAAAAAAATGTGACATTATGCTAAAATGCAATAAAATAGTCTAGTATGCATTAAGTGTCACTAAAAAAGCGTGAAAATGTGCCATTACACATAGAGCAACTTAATGCCCATTAATTTAGTACCTCACATGGAAGGTACTAAATTTAATATACTTTAGAAAAGGTGCATTAATGCATGTGTAGACATGCCCAGTAATGCTTAACTCTGTCCCCTTAACTTTTTATTTTCCATGACTTGGGTATTGTTTTGAAGGAATATGTCCTGTATTCTTAGCTGTTTCTAAGTATAGTTTGCATTTTACTTTATGATGTTTTTAAAATACAGCATACTGTAGAAATGATAGGTGCCTCTTATTTGTTTGATCCTACACTGTATCTGGATTTTTCTTTTTACACAATAGACTATTTGTATGGGTGTGGTGTCTGAGAGCCTTACTTGTGGCCTCAAGACTGTTCTGCTGGGTTCTGTAAAACACAGAACAAAAAGAAGCTTTGCCAGTGCAACTCTCCAAATAGCTTTGCCAGTGTAACTCCTGGTGTGGACAGAACTATGCCAACAAAAGAGTTTTCATTTGCTTAGCCAACAGAGCTCTGCTGACTCAGCTCTAGCAACCTGGGGTATGTACACACGTAACAGTTGAATCATTCCCAGATATCACTGATTGGGAACCAGTTCACAATTATCACAGGTCAAAGGTGACCACACATACGCTGCCATATATTCTAGGTGGAACAGTCACCTTGTAGGGGTTGAAATGCTGTGGTTCCAGCAGCAGGGAGTAGGAGTGAACACAGCCCATCAAGCATCACAAGGGGTTAGTGGAGGGGGGTGCATGCACCCACACTTCAGGGGTACCAGAGGTGGGTGACCTGTGGCCCTGGGGCATTTTCACTTTTCTTCTTCTCTCTTAAACATGAGTTCAGTAAAGTTCAGTAGCTGGCACTTGACTGAGCTCTGCAATGTGTCTGCCAGACCTGAGGTACCTGAGAGTGCTTGGATCCAAGCTTTTGGGTTCCAGAGGATGGGAGGCATGATGAGGGGCTGTGGTCAAGTAGGGACTGAGGACACAGGTGATCGTTAGGAAGGTGGATTTTATTAAATAAGTAGTACAAGGGAGTGCATTGATTAAAAAAAAAATACAAACAAAAGGGGATAGTAGAGTTCTGACCACATGCTGAAGTGGCCATTTACAGATGTGTTTGTGGTTGGGGGTGACAGTGTGGAAGGCCTAGGGAACCAACCAGACTCATGCCAGAGAATACTTCTGGAGACTTTACACATGCTCTGCGGGGGGTGGGATTTTACAAATAAATGCCTGGCTATAGTTGGTTCTGATTACGTACAGGAAAAATGTGGAACATTTAGCAGTAGTTCCTATCTTTAGTTTTGGGGTTGGTTGTTTTTACAGAGTACTTCGGGAAATAAAACATAGAGAAGTCCTGTGACATACAACTAGTATAAGATGCTGCATTGCTGTTGAAAGGAAATAACTGTCATTTTTCTATAAATATTTTGAGTGATTGCATTAAGAGCAAGA